TAGAACATGAAAATGCTCATTACAAAAATACTCATAATGATGCTCAGCATCATTAGCCATTTTGGAAATATAAATTAAAATCACAATGACATATTACTACACATCTATTAGCATGGCTAAACTTAAAACAAATAAAAACTGACAATACCAAGTGCTGGGTAAGCATATAGAGCAACTGGAACTCTTACTGGTGGAAATGCAAAATGACATAGACTGTCTGGACAAGTTTGACAGTTTCTTATAAGAGTAAACATAAGGGGTGCCTGGGTGGCTCAGGCGTTTAAGTGGCTGCCTTCGGCTCAGGTCATGATCTCAGGGTTCTGGGATTGAGCCCCACATCGGGCTCCCTGCTCAGTGGCGAGTCTGCTTCTCCCTCTCCCTCTGTGATCTCCCTCACTCTCATTCTCTCTCAAATAAATAAATAAAAATCTTAAAAAAAAAGTAAGCATAATTTACCATATGCCTCTATAATTCCACTCCTAGGCATTTACCCTAGATAAATGAAAACTTATGTCAGGCACCTGGGTGGCTCAGTTGTTGGGCGTCTGCCTTCAGCTCAGGTCATGATCCCAGGGTCCTGGGATCGAGTCCCAGTTGGGCTCCCTGCTCCGTGGGAAGCCTGCTTCTCCCTCTCCCACTCCCCCTGCTTGTATTCCCTCTCTCGCTGTCTCTCTGTCAAAAAATAAATAAAATCTTTAAAAAATAAATAAATAAATGAAAACTTAAGTCTACACAAAAGGCTGTACAGTAATGTTTATAGCAGCTTTGTTCATAATCACCAAAAACTGGGCACAACATAAATGTCCTTAAATGAATGAATGGATTAACAAACTATGGTATGTCCATACAACAGAACACTACTCAGCAGTAAAAAATAATGAGCTATTGATACACAACTACATGGGTGAATCTCAAAGACACTATGCTGAGTGAAAGAAATCAGTCCAAAAGTTATATACTATAGGACTCCATTTATGTGACATTCTGAGAAAGACAAAACTATAGAGATGGTGAATAGATCAGTGATTACCAGGGGTTAGGGATGTGTGCTGGATTTCACCACAAAGGGACAGCATGAAGGTTTTCTTTGGATACTGCCCTCCTGATTGTGGTAATGGTTACATGACCCTAAATTTGTGTTAAAACTCAGAATTGTGTACATACACACATACACAGTTAATTTCATATGTTAACTTAAAATTTTTTAATGTTAAAAAGTTATTAAAAGATGTTAGATGGGTGATGAGTGTCAACTACAATTTAAAAAGAGAGAAAAAGATATTGGGTGGCTCATTTTATTAGCTAGAATTATGTTCAACTGTATATAACATATATACACATTCATACTCATAGAAACAAAAGCTTAAAAAAGATAGATGTTTATTTTTCTTTGATGCAAAAGTCATCCTAAAGTGTATGGTCCTGGACTAGAATGGTGGCTTCATGGTTCTCAAGGATCTGGCTCCTTCCAGCACTCTGGTCTTGCATCCCTAAAGTGTGACTCCTGTCCTCACAGTGCTTGGTGGCTGCTGGAGTTCAGCTGTTGTCAGAGTTCCAGACAAAAGATGGATGAAGGAAAGAAGAAAGGTTATCTTCCTTTCCCTTTAGGATTCTTCTTGAAGTTACATGCAACACTCCTTATACCTCACACTGGCTAAAATTTACTCACATGGCCACACCTAGCTAGCTTCAGAGGAGTCTGGGAATGTCATCTATATGGGTTGCAATGCATCCAGGGGGGGAAAAATCAGGATTCTGATTTACAAGGAAGAAAATGAGGCCACTTTAAGTTTTTGCAACAGTCCTGCAATTGCTAGGTGTTACCCATCGTGGATAATTCTCCAAACCAAGCAGCAAAATTAGTCCCCTACGAATTCTGCTGCCCACTAACCCCTGTCCAGAGGGTAGTAGACCCTCCCTGCACTGTAGCCAGTATAGTCCTGGACCCTTTTACCATTCTCCTAGAGTTCTATCTTCCTTCTACTGGAGCCACAGCCACTAGATAGAGAACTCACAGTCTTTTTCTCCTGACTCGTGGTCTGGCAAGTTAAGTGTGAGGGAAGAGCCCAGGGTTCAGGAGAAGCTAAGAAAGCAAGCCCCTGGCACTCTCAACCTCTACAGGAAGAAAGAGGCTCTGCTTCCCTCCAAGATTGCTAACCTGAAGAACTACTTAAACAGAAAAGAGGGTCAGATACAAACCAGCCTAAAATAAAGGCTCTGGACTTTCCACTCTAAGTACAGAGTTGTAAATAGTATAGTAAAGTTTGCATCCAAATGCTTTGGAAGCCCTGAGGACAGGCTCCCAGCTCTGCCTGGGGGCATCAGGAAAGACTCCATCCAAAAGGACACCTAAACTGAATGGGAGTTTTGGGGAGAGATCTTGGGTCTGTCAGATCCTCAAGTCTGCCTCTTGAATCAGTTTACTCTGTGAACTTCCATTAACAATGTTTGATATAATGCTGCTCTATTTTTATGTATTTTTAAAAATAAAAATGTACTGTTTCCTATGGACTATTTTTTAATCTGCTTTTTAGATTTAATAATTTTTAATGATTATGTTTCTATTTCATATACAAAATCATTTCTAATGGTTGCATTGTACTCTATCATATGGATCTTTCAGGGGGTTATGTTTTAAATATTTAACGCAGCATGAAAGAGTGCCAGGAATTCACAATGGGAAAGGTTAATCTTTTCAACAGATGGTGTTAGAAAAACTGGATCCATATGGAAAAGAATGAAAAAGGACCCTTATCCTATATCATACATAAAAATCAATTCAAAATGGATTAAGGACTTAAACGTAAGACTTGAAACTAGAACTCCTAGAAGAAGAAAAAATACATAGGTAAAAGCTTCTTGACATTGGCATTGGCCATGATTTCTTGGATATGACATCAAAAGCACAGGCAGCAAAACCAAAAATAGACAAGTGGGATAACATCAAACTAAAAAGTTTCTGAGTGCGTTACTTACCTCGACTCTTAGCTTGTCGGGGACGGTAACTGGGACCCGGTGTCTGCTCCTGTCGCCTGCACCTGCTAACACATAGCCACCACGCGTGAGTGCATCTCCATCCACATGGGCCAGGCTGGTGTCCAGATCAGCAACGCCTGTGGGAGCTCTATTGCCTAGAACACGGCATCCAGCCCGATGGCCAGATGCCAAGTGACAAGACCATCGGGGGAGGAGATGACTCCTTCAACACCTTCTTCAGTGAGACGGGCGCTGGCAAGCATGTGCCCAGGGCCGTGTTTGTAGACCTGGAACCCACAGTCATTGATGAAGTTTGCACCGGCACCTACCGGCAGCTCTTCCACCCTGAGCAGCTCATCACCGGCAAGGAGGACGCTGCCAACAACTACGCCCGAGGGCACTACACCATTGGCAAGGAGATCATTGACCTTGTCTTGGACTGCATTCGGAAGCTGGCTGACCAGTGCACAGGTCTTCAGGGCTTCTTGGTTTTCCACAGCTTTGGAGGGGGAACTGGTTCCAGGTTCACCTCCCTGCTGATAGAACGTCTCTCTGTCAATTATGGCAAGAAGTCCAAGCTGGAGTTCTCCATTTACCCAGCCCCCCAGGTTTCCACAGCTGTAGTTGAGCCCTACAACTCCATCCTCACTACCCACACCACCCTGGAGCACTCTGATTGTGCCTTCATGGTAGACAATGAGGCCATCTATGACATCTGTCGTAGAAACCTCGATATTAAACGCCCAACCTACACTAATCTTAACCGCCTTATTAGCCAGATTGTGTCCTCCATCACTGCTTTCCTCAGACTTGATGGAGCCCTGAATGTTGATCTGACAGAATTCCAGACCAACCTGGTGCCCTATCCCCGCATCCACTTCCCTCTGGCCACCTATGCCCCGGTCATCTCTGCTGAGAAAGCCTACCATGAACAGCTTTCTGTAGCAGAGATCACCAACGCATGCTTTGAGCCAGCCAACCAGATGGTGAAATGTGACCCTCAGCATGGTAAATACATGGCTTGCTGCCTGTTGTACCGGGGCGACGTGGTTCCCAAAGATGTCAATGCTGCCATTGCCACTATCAAGACCAAGCGCAGCATCCAGTTTGTGGACTGGTGCCCCACTGGCTTCAAAGTGGGCATTAATTACCAGCCTCCCACTGTGGTGCCCGGTGGAGACCTGGCCAAAGTACAGCGAGCTGTGTGCATGCTGAGCAACACCACAGCCATCGCTGAGGCCTGGGCTCGCCTGGACCACAAGTTTGACCTGATGTATGCCAAGTGTGCCTTTGTTCACTGGTATGTGGGGGAGGGCATGGAGGAAGGAGAGTTTTCTGAGGCCCGTGAGGACATGGCTGCCCTTGAGAAGGATTATGAGGAGGTTGGTGTGGATTCTGTTGAAGGAGAGGGTGAAGAAGAAGGAGAGGAATACTAATTACCATTCCTTTCAGCCCTGCAGCATGTCACACTCAGAACTTTAGCTTCAACATTACCTGACAGGCGTTAAAGCTTTCTGGTTAGATTGTCTTCACTTTTAACTGTGATCATGTCTTATCCATGTGTATCTGTCGCATTTTTCCATTATGTCTCAAAAGTAAAGGCTTTAAGAAAGAAAAAAAAAACTAAAAAGTTTCTGCACAGCAAAGGAAGCAAGCAACAAAATAAAAAAGCAGTCTACAGAATGGTAAAAATATTTGCAAACCATATCTGATAAAGGGTTAATAAATATATAAGGAAATCCTACAGCTTGATAGTGTAAAAACAAATAGCCCAATTAAAAGATGGGCAAAGGAACTGAATATACATATATGCAAAGAAGACATACTAATGGCCAACAAGTGTATGAAAAAGGTGCTCAAGATCACTAGATGTCAGGGAAATGCAAATCAAAACCACAATGAAATATCATCTTACATCAGTCAGGATGGCCATTGTAAAAAAAAAAAAAAAGCTAAGTGTTGGCAAGGATGTGGACAAAAGGGAACCCTTATACACTGTTGGTGGGAATGTAAATTGGTGCAACCCCACTTCTAAGTATATATCCAAAGGAACTGAAATCAGGATCTCAAAGAGGTATCTGCATTACCATATTCACTGCAGCATTCTTTAAAAGAGCCAAGGCATGGAAGTAACCTAAATATCCATCAATGAGTGAATAAAGAAAATGTGGTATATACATACAATGGAATAGTCTTCAGCCTTAAAAAAAGAAGGAAATTCTGTCACTTATGACAACATGGATGAACCTGGAGGATGTTATGCTAAATTAAATAAGTCAGACACAGAAGGACAAATACAGTTGACTTTTGAGCAACACAGGTTTGAACCGCACAGTTCCACTTATATGTGAATCTTTTATAGCACAGTAGTAAATATTTTCTCTTATAATTTTCTTAACATTTTCTCTTCTCTAGCTTACTTTATTGTAAGAATACAGTACATAGTACATATAACATAAAAAAATTTGGTTAATCGGCTATTTGTGTTATCAGTGAGGCTCTGGTCAACAGTAGGCTTTTATGTTTTGGGGAAGTCAAAAGTTATATACAGATTTTCAACTGTGTGTGGGGGGAGGTCAGCTCCCCTAACCTCTGAGTTGTTCAAGTGCCAACTGTACTATATGATACCACTTATATGAGGAATGTAAAATAGACTCAAAGAAGCGGAGTGTAGGATGGTGGTTGCTAGGGACTGGAGTGTGGGACAAAAAGGGAGGTATTAGTTAAAGGGTACAAAGTTTCAGTTTATACAAGATGAATAAATCCTAGAGATCTACTGTACGGCATAGTGCCCATAGTTAACAATACAGTATTGTATACTTTAAAATTTGCTAAGATGGTAAATGTTTTAAGTGTTTTTATCACTGCTACTACTGCTATTAAATAAAGAGAGTGAGAGAAAGCTTTTGGAAGTGATGGATAGGTTCATGGAATAGATTGTGGTGAGCGTTTGACAGTTGTATACTTATCTCCAAACTTGTACACATTAAACGTGTACAGCTTTTTGTATATCAGCCTTAACTCAATAAAATTTTAAAAAATACTTGAATACTAACCACTCACAACAAATGCTGACTATAAGCAATTGGCACAGCTATATCCTCCCACAAGGTTGCTGTCAGCTCTGCATGTACTATAATTTACATAAATACATTGTTATTGGACATCTCAGTAAGCAAAAGATTTGATTCAATAAGCTTTGATCAATTTTTTTAAATAAAGGATCAGTTTGAGTGGATTTTGAAACCACATTCAAAAACACCAACTAGGTAAACTCCTTGAAGGTAGGGAGTTGAATTTTTTTCACTCCATATCACTGAAGCTTATAGCCAAGACCCTGTCACAAAAGAAGGCTCAATAAATAGTTGTTGGAAAAAATGAGTGGATTTTCTTTTTTTTTTTAAAGATTTTATTTATTTATTTGACAGAGAGACACACAGCGAGAGAGGGAACACAAGCAGAGGGAGAAGCAGGCTTCCCGTGGAGCAGGGAGCCCAATGCGGGGCTCATAACCTGAGCCGAAGGCAGACACTTAATGACTGAGCCACCCTGGCGCCCTAAATGAGTGGATTTTCAAAGCAAAATAATTCACCAACATAGGGCAGTACCAAACTTACTTCCATTCTTAAAAATAGGTTGTGTGTGTGTGTGTGTGTGTGTGTGTGTTAGCACAGATAATTTCCTAATTGACTTTTTCTAGAGAAAACATTAGGTCATAGTTGACTTCTATGAACCTATACATAATATTGGGTGGGTGAGAAATCTCTACTTTTAAGCATCCTTTTTTATTTTATTTTGGTAAAGAATAATAAAAATGGCTTCCAAACGAACACTAGCTTTTTTTTTTTTAAAGATTTTATTTATTTATTTGACAGAGAGAGAGACAGCAAGAGAGGGAACACAAGCAGGGGGAGTGGGGCAGGCTTCCTGCTGAGCAGGGAGCCCGATGTGGGGCTCAGTGCCAGGACCCTGAGATTATGACCCAAGCCGAAGGCAGATGTTTAACGACTGAGCCACCCAGGTGCCCCTGAACACTAGTTTTTTCTTTTTTTAAGATTTTATTTATTTATTTATTTGACAGAGAGAGACACAGCGAGAGAGGGAACACAAGCAGGGGGAGTGGGAGAGGGAGCCCGATGCGGGGCTCAATGTGGGGTTCGATGCGGGGCTCGATGCGGGGCTCAATCCCAGGACCCTGGGATCATGACCCAAGCTGAAGGCAGACGCCTAACTAACAACTGAACCACCCAGGCGCCCCTGACCACTAGCTTTTTAAGAAAGGTTCAATTATCAAGCTTTTAATGTTTTTACTGTTTATTAAGCATCTTAACTCAAGGCCTTTGGGTAAATCAGAACTTAACAGGGGCGCCTGGGTGGCTCAGTTGGTTAAGCGACTGCCTTCGGCTCAGGTCATGATCCTGGAGTCCCTGGATCAAGTCCCGCATCAGGCTCCCTGCTCAGCGGGAAGTCTGCTTCTCCCTCTGACCCTCCCCCCTCTCATGTGCTCTCTCTCTCAGTCTCTCTCTCTCAAATAAATAAATAAAATCTTTAAAAAAAAAAAAGAACTTAACATTTCAATTTAGACAGGTGGAATCAAGGATTAATAAACAGTTAAGGTAATGGGAGTATCAGTTATATATAAAACATTTCAATATAGGGGGCACCTGAGTGGTGCAGTTGATTGAGTTTCTCTTGGTTTTGGCTGGGGTCGTGGTCTCGGGGTCCTGAGATCCAGCCCTGCATCAGGCTCCCCGCTCAGCAAGGAGTCAGCTGAAAGACTCTCTTTGCCTGTCCCTCTGCCTGCCCCCACCTCTCAAGATAAATAAATCTTTTAAAAAAACATTTCAATATAAAATTATATACAAACAGTATTTAATTTGTATAATATAGTTTCCTGTTGGGAACATTGTTTCCCAAATGTACTAATAAGGAGTGAGGTCATAAGAATAAAGAATCACTCTTAACTGGTGGTATACCATGGTTTAACTGGTGGTATAATATAAATGGGCAGCATTTTGGTAGCATTATTAGACTTTAGACATCTTTACATTTTTACGTTTTTTTTTAAAGATTTTATTTATTTCAGAGAGAGTGTGCACAAGTAGGGAGAGACAGGCTGAGGGAGAGGGAGAAGCAGGCTCTCCGCTGAGCAGGGAGCCCGATGCAGGGCTTGATCCTAGGACCCTGAGATCATGGCCTGAGCCGAAGGCAGACGCTTAACCAACTGAGCCACACAGGTACCCCAATTTTTATGTATTTTTTAATCAAGTTTTTACATGTCCATATTTTTTTAAGATTTTATTTACTGGTTGATTTAGGGAGCATAAGCGGGAGGAGGGGCAAAGAGGGAGAGAGAGGATCTCAAGCAGACTCTGTGCTGAGTGTGGAGCCGGTCATGGGGCTTGATCCCATGACCCCGAGATCATGAACTGAGCCCAAATCAAGAGTTGGACGCTCAACTGACTGAGCCACCCAGGCTCTCCATACATGTACATAGTTTTTTAAAATACAATTAGGGGGTGCCTGAGTGGCTCAGTTAAGCGACTGCCTTCGGCTTCGGTCATGATCCCAGGGTCCTGGGATTGAGTCCCACATCGGGCTCCCTGCTTGACGGGAAGCCTGCTTCTCCCTCTGCCTCTGCCTGCTACTCCCCCTGCTTGTGCTCTCAATCTCTGTCAAATAAATAAAATTAAAAATATATATATAATTAGGATTATAGTGAAAAACAGCAGGCCTATCTTTCCCCACTTTTAATTCCCTTTTCCTTTTTGCAACCAACTTGCAACCCTTTTAGCTATGCTAGTACTTAGGTCCACATATCTTATGGCATATGTTAGATAGCTTATATTGTCATTTCTTGATTTTTTTCAGCTTCAGAGAATGACTTTCTACCCTGGAATAAGAATTTGCTTTTCTGCCTCCTCCACCATAAACTTCTCATCTTCCATCACTTTAGTTAAATCAGTTTTCATTCGGGTCGTGCTCCCAGGGGCCTGGGATCGATCCCAGCATCGGGCTCCTTGCTCAGTGGGAGCCTGCTTCTCCCTCTGCCTGCTGCTCTCCCTGCTTGTGCTCTTTCTCTCTGACAAATAAATAAAATCTTTAAAAACAAAAAACCAGTTTTCAATCTTTAAATCCTTACCTAGTTAGCCTAGAAAAATTATATATACTATGATTACCATTTCCTAATGTTAAAAATGGCCTTGTTTTCTTTTTTGCTGAGTTTTCTATGTAGGAATCACAGTCCATCCCCAAATTCTGCAACAGAGCTAAAAAAAAGCTCCTTGTTTTATTTTTTCTTAAAGATTTTATTTGACAGAGAGAGAGAGAGAGAGTGTGTGTGTGTGTGTGTGCTTGCACGCGTGCTCGTGAGAGAGGGGGGGGGCATGAGCAGGGGGAACACAATGTGGGGCTTGATCCCAGGACCTGGGATCATGATCTGAGCTGAAGGCAGATGCTTAACTGATTGAGCCACCCAGGTGCCCCAGAAGCTCCTTGTTTTATACCCAAACACATCAGAAATTCTTCAGTGTCATTTTCTTCTCAGAGTCATCTTCCTAATTCTGATCTGAACTTGGTACTCTTGCTCTGCAGCGCAGCTGTCATCCTGAGTCCTCCCTTCACCGTCATCCTAGGCATTCCTACCTCCTCTCTCCTGCATTCCTACCTCCTGTTACTCTTATCCTATGTCCTTTTCATTCTTAGTTTACCCCTTGGATTTGGTGGAGCATATATTCCAGAAACTTCCAGACAACAGGTGCATGGAACCTAAATAACTTTTTAAGACCTTGCCTATCTGAAATTCTTTATTTTCCCCTCATACTTGATTGCAAATTAGGCTGGATATAGAATTCTAGATTGGAAATTATTTGTCCCCAAAATTTCTAAAGCATTGCTGTCATTGCCATATCACTTTGTATGTTGCTTTTAAGAGGTCTGTTGCCATTCTGATTCCTGATCCTGTGTAATCACTTGCTTTTTTCTTTCTGGAAGTTTTTAAGGCCTTCTCATTATCCATAGACTTTTGAAATTTTACAGTAATGTGCTTTCATGTGGCATGTCATAATCTTTAGGCATTGAGGAGTTCCTTTTGACCTATAAACTTGTGATTTTTGGTTCTCAGAATTTTTCTTTTGTTATCTTTGAAAATCTCCTATTTTTATTCTTCTTTCTTCTGAATCTCTAGTTTTGGGTGTATGTTGGCTCTCCTGCATTTATCCTCTTTTTTTTTTTCTATTGATCTATTTTCCATCTCTTTGTCTTTTGTTCTATTTTCTGTCCTATTTCCTTAACTGTATCTTCTAACTATTCTACTTGTTTCTGCTATTTTAAATTTCTATATCCCTTTCTTATTCTCTGCTTTTATAATTCAATAGCATTCTGTTCTTAATATCCTTAATTCATTAACTTTTTTTAAGATTTATTTGAGAGAGAGAGAGAGAGCACGTGTGCACATGTGAGCAAGGGGGAGGGGCAGAGAAGGAGAGAAGCAGACTCCCCGATGAGCCCGGAGCCTGGCACAGAGTCAATCCCATGACCCTGAGATCATAGCCTGAGCTGAAATCAAGAGTCAGATGCCCAACCAACTGAGCCACCCAGGTGCCCCTAACTCATTAACTGTTTAATTTTTTTTTTTAAGATTTTATTTATTTATTTGAGAGAGAGAGAATGAGAGAGAGCACATGAGAGGGGGGAGGGTCAGAGGGAGAAG